AGACCAACCCTGTGATTGAGAATCTTAAATTTTTTTAAGAACCTGACATCTTTGACGTCCGAATGAAACTGCGGGAGTCAGCGGTACGACTTGTCGTCCGCGGTTCCCGATAAGGCCGCAAGGGTGCGCGGTCATGGAAAGACTAAAGCTAGACCTAATCTACGTAAAATAATGCCGCGCGACTGCTAAGCCGCGTGATTTCAGAGCCCAAGAAGGCTTAAAAAGAAGGATGCGCCATGTATAGAGCCGCATTGTAGAGGGAATAGGTAGAAGGGGTTTTATTTCTTAAACCGCGAGGTTTGCTCCGAACGAAGAGGCAATGCCGTATCCGGAGCCTAAAAAGGCTAGCCTCGGCGCCATCAGGGTGAGCCGCCCAATGAATGAGCGGCAACATGAGTACGGCGGGACCAGGAGGCCGTCGTGCCGACAACGGCGCAACTGACTTTGAAAAGGGAGGCCGACGAGACCTGCCTATGGTCAAGGTTGGGTAGCCTGCTGGGCTGCTACCCTTCATATAGAAAGGTAGCAGGCTTAGCTTCCGTAAAAAGGAGCTAGTCCAATAGGTTACCGTGCCAAATTTTCACCCAGCAGATGCTGATGCTGGGATCAAGCCGGCGATAAGCAATCTGGGCTAACTCCTTTCTTTTGGAGCTGCCCACTGCACCAACATGAAGCGCGGTCATTCTCCGTCGCGAGATCATCAAATCTCACAGTCGATAATGGATGCGTGGCTGCAGCATGGCCCCTGCGCAAGGATGACACGCATAAATTAAGAAAACGGTCCACAATTTTTTCGATTTCCCTAAGGGAATAGAACCTGGGTCTGTAAATCGGTGGGGCAGGGGGGAATACCAGCCAGGGTGGCGCAGTCTACAGTGGTCGTTGGCTTATACCAACGGCAGTACTAAAAAAAAAAAAAAAAAAAAAAAAAAAAAACGGAGAGATAGGTGTCGTTGCTGAAGCAACGGCCACCATTTCAGAGGCTGCACGAGGCATACAATACCTCTGCTGTCGAAGAAAACAATCTCTTTAAATTGTGTGGGAGCACGATAGCTCCCACCTCATGGTGGCACATATTTTTGTAGCCGCGAGATCTTAGATCTCGCGGCTCATATCGCACACGCGAGAGAAAAAGGAAAGAAAAGGGAGGATGAGAGAAAGGACCTGCTCCTCCCGACCTGCCAGCTGCCTCCCCGTTGTCAGGGGGGTAAGAAGAAAAAGAAAAGAAAAGAAAAGAAGAAAAAGAAAAGAAAAGAAAAGAAGAAAAAGAAAAAGAAAAAGAAAACGAAAAATGGGATCTGAGTGTTTTTTGAAAAACTGTATTTTTCAGTTTGCACCACTATTTTTTTGGTGGCGTAAAACAATTTGTTTGACCTTGCAAGTTTTTCTGTATATAGTCAGGCACTTAGGCCATCCACATGATTTGTTTTAAATTTGTTTATTAAGCGAATATTTTTCTAAAAATGCTCAAAGTCGGCGTGCTTTTTGCACCCCGCCCTGAGCCTGTAGGGATTTGAACTCGTGTATTTTCACGAGTTTTTTCCCTACCTCTCCCAATCTGACAACTGCCATCCCCGTTTTTAGGGGAGGGCAGGGGAGAAGAGAGGAAAAGTAGAGAGGGGAGAGAAAAGAATAGTCACGGCCGCGAACGTGGTCGAGGCCGTGCACCAAGTTGAAGCAGTATTGGCCTGAATGCAGTCATTCAGACCAGAGCTGTGAACTGGAGGGTCAGTGAGGGAAATTTGGCTGGAAACAACCATTTTCCCGCTGAACTTGCACTCAGTGTAGGGATGAGTGCAGGGAAAAGGGAAAAAAACCTCCGCAGTCCTCCAGCTCCGCCGGCAGCACTCCTGCCTGCTCTCCAGCACTCCAGCGATGAGCCAAGTGTGCTGTCGCACACTGGCAGCTGGAGGCAAGTGTGAGGCAGCTGGGGGATAACTGCCTCTTTTGTAGTGGTTGAAGAGGGCAGCAGCAGCCTCAACTGCCCCCAAGCAAAATTCGTCGCTTGCCTGGGGCCGTTGATCTGAGCCAGATCAACGGACTGAGGTTGTCTCACCTCAGCCACACACTTAGGGTGACAGTTGTACTCAACTGCCCCCCTCTTTGACCCTATCTGAAGTTCAATATGGTGAACTTCATTTTGGTCGGGAATAATACTACATCGAAATAACTCCCTCTAGGCAGCCTCTCTAACTTCTTATCAGATCAGCTTCTAGAGATAGTCGTCTAAAGGAAGAAAAGTATAGAGCTAACATCGCCAAACTTTCCTCTTCAGACATACACAGACAAAATATCTTCAATCTCATACAGAGTAGAATCATAATATTTGACATCAATCAGTAGGTTACGGTAGCAGGATAGATCACACGGGGCAACATTCCTTCTACCTCCACCTCTGTAGAATCGGAAAATAAATATTGTCAGTTCGTTAGTCTTTTGCAGGATCTCCATAAGAGTTGTCATAGAAGGGTAGATCACACGGGGTCCTCACCTTTTTACTGAGTGTCTGGTGGTGATATGGCAGACCTCATGGGGTCTCGCTTCTCCTATCGTTGTTTCATGTCGAAGCACGGTTGGCGGGCAATAAGGCAGGCTTCTCAGAGCCTCGCTTCTCTTATCACCACCTCCCTTACTCGTGCTAACTTATTGCAATAGGGTAGGCCTTGCAGCCTCGCTCCTCCTATCGCTTACTTGCGCTGACACACGACTGGCTGGAAATAAGGCAGGTTTCTCGGACCCACCATCCTTCCTTATCCGTGTCATTATAGCGATAGGGCAGGCCTCTCGGGGTCTCGCTCCTCCTATCGCTTTCGCTAGTTTTCGGTCGTTGCTTTGGACGCTTCTTAAGCCGTGGATCATTCGGAAGTCTTTAAGCTCATGCAGGTAGGCCATACGAAACTTGTGCCCCACATCTTAAAAGTTTTCCACCTGATCTCCGAACTGTGTTAGTTTAGGACTTTGAAAAGATGTAGATTTTAGTCAACTATAGGGCAAAAGTTAGTTGATGTTGTCCATTTTTCACAGTGCTTGACCAATAGCACGCACAATCCCTCATTCCATTGTGAACCTTGCTTTATCAATGCCAGATGGTCTATTAAACAAGGGAAGACTGCACGGAGTCGATTCCCTTGCGGCCACATCCCCCCCCAAAAAACACTCACATATCGAGACAGTTTCACGGAACTTTTCATTTTCGTTATGTTTTTCAGCAATAGTTAGTCATACCCAGTCCCTTTCTGTCAGATCATGAAGGATGAACTGCGCACCACATTGTCTCACTCGATTGGATGCGCACAGTGTCCGTTCACTTGATTGGTCGTGCACTGCACCCCCGCTCACCCCAAGGGGCTGCGAACAGCACCGCTTACTCGTGGCACATCGGATTTCGGCCAACTCACCGCTATAATCGGTGAATAAGAAAAAAAAAAAAAAAAGGTTTAAAAACCAGATAAGCAAGGAATATGAGTGGGAACAATAGACTGAAAACCAAATTATGAAATCACACAGATGTCCAAGTAGTCAGTCGCAAGCAGAGAGCACAAATGTACCGAGATTCCATCCAAATAAGAGCAATACAATAAGCTTTTGAGCCAATGTTGAAGTCCTCAGGCCACACCAACACAGTATCCAATGTAGCTCCTCCCTGTTTGGCGCCCCGCACCCAACCAACACTACTTGCCTATCCTTTTACAGCCGCATTCATGCAATAGGCTCACTTCGTCTTTGAACACTAATGTTCACGACGTCAATACCATAGTCGGCCTCTCACATACACCAGATACGTATCTCTCTTCTCTTCCTCTCATTCTCTCTTCCTCTGTCTCTCTCCCTCTCTCACTCTTTTGTGTATGTGTCTTTCTTCGTGTGCGTCACAGTACACTATGTGTCTCTGTGTAGGTCACAGTGCCTGTGTACATGTTCCACTGTGCCTCTGTGTGTTTCACTATGTGTGTCACTATGCATTGTGTGTCTGTGTCACCGTGCATTTGTGTGACTGTGTATCTTTGCCTGTGTATCTGTGTGTCGCATGTGTTTGTGTCACTCCATGAATGTGTCACTGTGTATCTTTGTGTGTGCTTCACTGTGTCATAGTGTCACTTATGTATGTGTCACTTATGTATGTGTCACTTTGTGACTATGTGACTGCGTGACTGTGTTTCTGTGTGTGTGTATCACTGTGTATCAGTGTCACTTATGTTTCTGTATCACTATGTTTGTCATAGTGTCTCTGTGTCACTGTGCATGTTTTTGTCTGTGTCATTGTATATGCCACAGTTTGTGTGTGTTGTTTCAATTTGACTGTGTGTGTCGCTGTGTCTGTGTGTGTGTCACAACATTTGTCTGGGTTTATCACAGTATCTGTGTATGTCTGTTTTATGTTTCATTGTGCCCTTGTATGTGTCACAGTGTATGTGTCACTGTATATCTGCGTGTGTGTCCCTTTGTCTGTGTATCTGTGTCACTGTGGATGTGGCATTATGTTTGTGCATCTTGTGTCCCCGTGGATGTGACACTGTGTCTGTGTATCTTGAGACTTGTGCCACCGTGTATCTGTGCGTGTTCCACTGTGAGTCGCTGTGTGTGTTACAGCGTCTATGAGTGCGTAACTGTGTGTGTCACAACGTCTGTGTGTGGGTGATTGTATGCGGGCGACTGTGGGTGTTCCTGTGTCATAGTGTGCGTCACCGTGTATGTTACAATGTCCGTGTCACTGTATCTGTGTATGTTTGTTGTGTGCGCGTGCCACCGTGACAGCATGTCTCACAGTATCTGTGCATGTTTCACGGTGTATGTGCGTCTGTCACAGTGTGATTGTCTGTATCTTACTGTGCATGTGTCACTGTGCATCTGTGTGTGTCACAGTATGCGTCACTGTGTGATAGTGTATGCCACAGTGTATCAGTGTGTCACAATATTTGTGTGTGTGAATTGTGTGTTCTGTTGTGTGTCCAGTCTGGATATGTCTACCTGTCTATCTGTCTCTTATATCTGCATGTTCTATTTGTCTATCCAGTTTGTTTGTCTGTCTGTCAATCTGCACTCGGATGGCAACGAGCGCAAACTCTCCTTACGAAGTTACGACACCTCCCATCCAAACGCAATGGAACCACATCGCAACACGATCCATCACTAAATGCAGCATACCGATACCACAACATGAGGGATACAACAGGCAGGAGCGTGCATCCCAATAAGTCGGGCGGACGACGGCCATCCACACGACTTTGTCGGCGGATGCATGTAAGATAAATTCGCTCTTCTAATAATAATAATAATAATAATAATAATAATAATAATAACAATATTCCCTTCTCGCGAGCGCAAGGAATATGAGAGTGAACGATATATAGAAAACCCAGTTACGAAATCACACAGATATCCAAGTAGTCATGTACATGCAAAGAGCACAATAGCATAAGAATCCATCCAAACAAAGCCATACAATGAAGTAATGAGTCAATGTTCAAGCCCATAGGCCACACCAACACAGTATTCGAAATCGCGCCTCTCTGTCTGGCGTCCAATGCCCTAGCCTACTCTACTCTACTATCCTATCTACAGTCGTGTTCATGCAACATGATCACTTCGACTCTCGAAGACCAATGTACGTGATGTCAACACCTTAGCCGACCAGGTACGTATCTCATCACCCTCATCAGACCTTGCGAACCTACACTCACCTCCTTCCTCGCTGTATCTTCTCCTTTCATGCGGCATCGTTTCTCCTTGTTCGCATATGGTTGTATTCGTAATTTTAAGATTGAATCGATATAATAATAATGTAATAATAATAATAATAATAATAATAATAATAATAATAATAAACTGAACGCTTACAAGCTATATTTTTTTTATTAGAGACAGGCAGAAGGGGTGTGTGTTTCCCTTCAGAGGGAGACGCACGACATCAGTGATGAGTCTTATGACCGTCGACAACTGAACAGGTAAGTTTTCCCTTTCTTCACTTCACCTCTCTCTCTTCTGACTGCGTGATCTCCTTTCTTTCTCGCTTGCGCGGTCATGTCCTTGCTTCACATGATTCTTACCCCTCGCAATTAGCTCCCTTACCCGCGCACCCATCTCAACCCCCTTTGTTGGGACGTACTCGCCTCACCTCTCCGATTTTTCTCCCCTTTCACACATACATTCACACGCACACTGACATACGCACGCACACACACATACACACACAAGTGCAGCAATGTGCATTTACATGTTCTCGCAGTAGATTCATCCGATTTTTGCTCGTCCTACCTGCACACACACATATAAGAGTACGAATATATATCTCCGTTTTCTAGCGGTAGATTCATTCGATTTTGCTCATCGGATCAACAAAAGTCGTGAGATCAGTAAGGAGATCGGAGACTTACCTCAAATGCAGGGTCGATGTCACGACGCCGTCAACGAATGTATCACGCATCCCGTAAGTTTTCAACCTCGCAATGGTAAGTTGCGGATGCAGGCCGTGGCCATCATGCGACATAAGCAGGGTACTGTACAGGGTAGAGTGGTAAGAGAGTGGCGACGTCTGAAGTAGGCAGAGCTGATCGTGATGAAGTCCATGAAGTTGCCGATGACGTCCACGATGAGAAGTCCGGAATGCCGTCGAGGAAGAGC